CACTCACTCTCTGAGCTGCTGGTCTGCCTTCACACACAACTAGCATCTTTCCCTGTAAGCTTATCTCCAACCATCACCAGGCCTGGCGCTGCAGCTCGAGTAGAGAGACAGCAATGTTTGCTGATGCTGTCTGGCTTTGGGCAGCTTTTTTATTTTTATTTTATTTAAATAAACACTTCAATAAATTCTCTTATTCCTTTCGATTTACCACTTTAAGAATATATGTGTTGATTCATGTGGACATCTTGCTCCAGATTCGTGTCCAATATGGCAGTGTTTGTAAGATATAAATCTCCAGTAGACACTGCTAACAGACCTTTAAACTGCTCTCTACCAAAGATGGTTCTTCTCCGCAGCGCATATTACTCAGCCGACTGTTAGGACAACAACAACTGCTGGAAGCTGCTCTGACTCTGGGACAAACCAGGGGCTAATGTTAGATGTCTGAAAAGGCCAGTGTTTCCAACTCACCGCTTTCCTGCTCGTTGCCTTTCTTGTTAGTAGCTGCGTTTCCCATGGTAGGAAGACAGGGGGATGCACAGCTGGCTACAGGCGGTGATGGTGATGGTGGTGATGGTGGTGATGGTGAGGATGGTGGCGGCGGCAGGATACCGAGCTACTCCGTTAGCGAGCTAACAGATATCTGCAGGCGCCAGCTCTTCGGCTAAGAACAACATTAATAGTCTGGTTCTGGACGAGTCCTCGTTGTGCTCCGCTCGCCGCCTCCTTACTCTGTATTTACAACGTCCTTGTCGGTTCAAGTGCGCCTCCGCTGGAATGAAAACATGATCCAGGCTTTTCACCTCTGCCTGCTGCTGCTGCTGCTGCTGCTGCTGATGTAATTGGTGCTGCGTTCACGACAGAACAAAATATCCGTACAATGACGCACGGTGCTGCCTTCACGTCACGACCGGGCAGATTAAGTTTACGCACATCACGCAGGATTATTTCACCGCCATCGCTGCAATTTGACAAAAAAAAAAAAAAAGAAAAATAAAAATAAAATAAATAATAAATAATAAAAAGAAAAATCCCAAACAAACAAAAACAGTTTTTTTAACAAGTCAAAATCACCCCTTTGAAAATTTGTATTGTGATTAATTAGATAGAGAATTTACTACTTATACTACAAGTACTACTACGACTACATGTGAGTTTACTTCTACGATATAAACAATATTAATACTGTTATTATCATTAAACTGATACATGTATTTATTAAAGATATATGATCATGCAACTCCATGCATTTGGGCCACAGTACTGTAATTAACTAAATGGACAAAATCAGCAGTTTTTTTCAAAAATATATTCTTATGTGTATTTTTGTACCTGGAGGAAAATAATAACATGTTGCCCAATAACTTAGGAAAAACAGCAGTATATGCATCACATACAGTAAACATTCTGTATTTTTCTGTTAATGTAGTGTTGTCAAAATGACAAACACATGATAATTACTGACTGAATAAACATGGGACCAGGAAAAACGGTCAGTATGAATTGTTAGAATAAATACATAAATTACAAACTAATGTAATAATATATAAATAAACACATTTTGAGGATATACAACAGGCTCCAAGTAGGGGTGATTTGTGACAGAAAAAAAAGCAGAAAACATCAAAAAGTCAGGTTTATAAGACAGTAGTGAGAGCTGCTGGGATGTATGGTTTAGAAACAGATGCTCTGAGGTCGAAATGAAGATGCTGAGATTTTAACTGGTTATTAGGAGAGGAAACAATATGATATTCCTTCCCAACAGAATTAGACTATTATATGTTATACAGCAATAAAAGACTAATGAAACTAATAACTTCTTAAACCAAGTACTTAGTAAACTCACATTGTTTTTCTTATTTATTTCTTCAGCCAACACTGATGACCTCTGTGTGGGTCGCACACGCCAACAACAACAGGGTTCGAGTTTAAGGACCACGGTCAGCGACACAGTTGCTAGGCAGCACGTATCAACGAACAGAGAGGAGCCTGGGTTTAACTATGACATAGGGCTGTGGAGATATCACTCAGAGCAAAACATTCATATAATATATATATATATAGACTTTATGTCATTGAGAAAAAAAACACTCTCAAACTCAAAATCTCCATTTTTCGTTGGAGCAACACACGTCCAGTTGTTGTTCCATGTCTGAAAATGCAAACTTCATCAGTTTTCTGGCTCCCCCTGTTCTACAGGAGGAATGGTTTGACCCATGAACTGGCCACAGCACTCGCAGCTCACCAGAGGACTACAACAACATACTGTGTTTTTATGGCTATCACTTTGGCGTAGTAACGCCGTGAACACCGCTGCATTGTAGGCAGGAATGAGTTTTCGAACAGCGAACCCACTGCTTATGTGGTTTTGGAGGAGACCAACCCAGGAGCCGCTGCACCACCGCTACTGCCTGGAATAATTAGGTAAGGCTCGACCAGGCTGCCCCATCCTCTGCTCTGTAGCACGGCTAAGCTAACTGTACAGAGACACAGGGTCATTACACTTCTGACTTCTTCTGTATGTTATAGTTTGTGTTTTTAATCTATGATAATGCTGCCAAAATGAGCAGCTCACATGTGGAGCACAATGTTTTTTTGTTTTTTTTTTCACCACAACGTCGTCAGACTGGCTGTGCACCACAAGGTCGTCAGACTGGCTGTGGTTGTAGTAAGTGAAGCGAGAAGCACTGAGACCGGATTGTGTTTAATTCATCCACCTGCACTGGAGCTAAGTGTTAGCGACCAAATCTTAGCTACAGCTGCTAAACACTAAACCACAGCATAACAAGGCGCTCACGGGGAAACGTCGCGCTCATGACGTGACATCACAAAGGTTTCATTGTATTCTTTCAATGTGAATAAATCAGTCAATTTCAATTTCAATTTAAAAACAAAATAAAGACAACCTGAAGAAGAAGACTGTTGGAGGGATGGCCTACAGTCCCTACAGGGATCTGGGAGATACCACACAAACTGGTGACCAGGCTTTTTTAAGCACGCGTCTTTTTGATGACATAGTTGACTTTTTTTAGTCCATTGTGTCACTGTCTTTCCACAGCTCACTGACGAAAACTATTTCAGTCAGAGCTGACAGATTACTTAGCAATAACAAACAGGGTGAGGAATAAACTGGGACCAAAGGCTTTAACAAATCACCAAGTCTTTCATTTGTTCTTCAATCTGTTAAAGAGGTAAAACAACAGTGCTTTTAATAGAGAGATGGTCAAAACTCAGCATTACTCAAACACTGCTTAAAGTCCGATATGATGCAACATCTGACAACTGACTGTAATAAAGGATTTTTGTACAAATTAATTGAAAAAAAAAATCCATCCTTGTTCTGTTAATTTTACTCACAGTGATGGTATGGTATTTTAAAACATTTTGTCATGTTACTGTAATGTCAGTGTCCACTGGCGCCCATATTTATTTGTAGAGTTCTGAGTAGACACAGGTTGTATGTCATATACAATAGAATATTGATTTAGATTTTTAATTCTATATAAGTCTTCAGCCATGACTGTTTATATGTTTATGTTTTATCTTTAGCTTTTTTTAGTTACAGCGTGTTTTTAAACACAAACATGTTCATTCAGTGCACATGGAATAAAATAAATGATGATCAGAATTTATCCCGGTCTTGTTATATTTTGAATCGAAATATTTTAGCTGCATATTTAGAGATTTGTACTTTCTGGGAGGCAGTACTTCTCACCTAGCCAGTCTTGAATCACTGCTAAGTGCTAATTTTAGTTCCTCCGGCACATATAAACCAAAATACATTCCTAGGGGAGCAGTCAGTGAGGTCAGCTCCTATCTTTACTGCGAGTACAACTGGCTGTTGCAGTGAGGCCTAGAAGTTTATTTAGTAAAAATATGAATAGGACAGAAACGTCATTGTGCTCCAAAGCTCCATTCTTTGCCGCAAGATGATATTGTTTATATTTGCTTTGTTAGTCGGGGTCATTCTGTCAAGTGAGGTACGACAGTACGGCATATCCACAATATTAGTCAGGGACTCTGCCCTTATGAGTGGTCATACATGCCCTAAGGTCCAGGCACTGCCGTCATAGGACGGTCAGGATAAAGCTCATACTGTGTCTGCTGCTGCTGCTGCTGCTGCTGCTGCTGCTGCTGCTGCTCACAAAGCTAAGTGGTGTTTCCCCAAGCATCTGTGTTGACCCTCTGGTTGATGACAGCTTTCAGGCTGCAGTGTCATGTAAAACAGTGAGACCATAAAACAGAAACCCCCCAGGGATGTTCTGCATCGCTGTTCACTAAAGGGACTTGTGTAATAACTGTGACAATACAGACATCTGCCACTTTAGACGGGATAGGAAGTAAAAAATAAATCAACTACAGGACATGTCTGCAACAATTTGAACACAATTCTAATGCATTGGGGAATTAAATTTAATTTTAATTTTACTTTTTGACCACAATGTTTAAAATGCATAAGTTTGTGGACCAGCCATCTTTACTACAGTCAGTGTTGGCTGGGAGAAGAGAATTTTGATAAAAATAAATTTAAAAAATAGAATTTCAGTGAAAATACTGTACACTCCCTAATGGAATATTATAATAATTTGATAAGTTTGAACAAACATTGAGAGATCATCAGGTGTCCCATTCAAAATGATCCAGTTTCTCTGGGTTGGTCTGTAAACTATTATAACAGATCAATGTCAGAGTAAGTAGGTTGGGAGTAAATTTAAACTAAAAAGATAATTATATTTCATTACATAAATTATAGAAATTGGTTAAATAGAATTGGTTAAATGACAGAATGGGTTATGCTATCGTGTTAGTTAGCGGCAGCTAATTTGCAGGATCTTCTGCAAGGGTCCAGTCAAAGTTAATTTCCGGCACTAACAGATATTTCGATGTTAGACTCTTATCAAAAGGAGGTTAGGCCTGTGGACCTACTTTGAATGAAGTTCATGTGTCTCTGTCCCCAGTGACTGTGTCTGTGGGAGAGGACAGAGGACAGAGATACAGAGTGTTGTCAGCATAGTCAACAGGTTCTGGTGTCTGATAAGGCCATGTTCTTGGGCTGCCTGGTTTATATTGCATCAGAAAATGGGTCAGGTGAGAAACCAGTGCGTCGGCCTGGGACTGTGAACTTTGGGTGTTTTGCTCATATCTTGCAAAATCACATACACACTCGTCTTAAACATGTTTTTGTCATCATGTCTGTTTTTATCTTTACGATTTTATGGTGAACAAAAAAAATGACGTGCTCTACTTGCATTTCAAGATAATCGCTTTACTTTTTAAATATAGAAGATACTTTGTCAGTTTAACAACAATGCAGGGTAAATACCAAACTTCACAGTTTGCTTTATATTGCATTTCCAGTAAATTGCATTTCCAGTAAATGCAATATAAAGCAAACTAAAAGTTCTTAAAATAGATTTCGTATTAGTGTAATTTATACCTGATAAACTTATTTGTATTTTTGTCAGACAGATGGGAAATTTGTGCTCGTAGAGAAATCACCAGACTGTTACTGAGGAAGTATAAAACAAACACGTTTATATTAGTCACTGTTACTGTTACAGACGTTGACGACACAACGAAACCTTTGTGTTTATGCATGATCTCAGGAAAACTCTTTTCAGGCCGCTCAGTTTTTCCGTTTCTCTGGCTCCCTCTCTTGGTCAAAATGCTACCCTACATCAGTGGCTGATTTGTTAACGGTTTGTTAATAGTTTTATAAAATTCAAAATGCATTCACAGTTTTAAACAGGGTTCGTGCAGTCATAAAAAAACTGGAATAGTTTTATAAAATTCAAAATGCATTTTCTAGGTCTGTGAAATGTTCATATTTTGTAACATTTTGGAAAATTCATGAAGGTAATATTTAGGATGTGTAAAACAAATAAAATGTGTACAAGTCGTTTTTTATAATTTTATACTCAATTTTATACTCTACGTAGGAAAAATGTTACGAATATATTTTTGAAGTGACAAAGACCACTAACTATCAGATTATATTCGTACAATTATTTAATTTAAAATTGGAGTCGCAAACATATAAATTGGGCCTAGTATGTGCAAGTAGAACTACGACCTCTGATGACTATTTACTGTAATTACACATAAAATCCTAAAAGGAAGAGACTTCAATCGAATCGTAACATTTTTTGGTGATCAGTAATTAGCGTTTTTGATGATTTGATTTTCAGATGGTGTTTTCTAAGTACAATACATCTAAATCAAGTGTTACAAATTAGATGCGTCCCTATTATTTTTTTTCTAAAAAGAAACAGTTGCTATAAATTATGCAAATAAAAGTACTATCTTTAAAGTTGGAGACAAAAAGTAATTAGGATACAGTGTTAATGAAAGCCCAAAAATAGCACCGTAGCAGTCGTTATCTGAATTATTTAGGTTAAAAACCACCACACTGTTGTGCAGAACATGTGCAATCAAAAGCCACCTGGGAGCCGCGCTCGGTTTTCAGACCGTACCGACCGATTGTTTGTGTGTTCGTGTTTAATTGGTTTTGTTGCATCGTATGCGGCTGGTCATTCTCTGGAGTTTAGCTGACGACACAGAGGACCAGCACAGAAAAGGTGGGTCAGGTTTTCAACATGAAACTAAGCTGGTAAAAAAAACAAAAACCTTTCTTTCTTTCTCTTACTCCGCACAATCGATGTTCTGACAGCTCGACTGATCGGCCTGCAGGGAATAATCGATGAGCGATAAAGACATGTTATGGATTGGTTCCTAATACTGAAATGTTTACAGTCTATATTGATCACGTCAGGTTGTGTTCATGTGAACATGTATTCTCCAAACCAAGGGTAAATAGTGCTGATTCTCACCACTAGAGGCCACTGTTGATCGCTATATCAAAGGCATTGCTGTATCTGTGTGGGTTTTAAAATTTACGACTATTGGTCTGTTTTTTTCACAAGCTTTATATATTACTGTATTATTTCTTTTCTCAAACAAACCATTTTGATAATAGCTAACCATGTTTGACTCTAATGAGGTTCAACAGGACAATCCTTTTTGTCAAAATGGAAACAAATATTTGTAATTTTTTTTAATCAGTTTTGAATTAGACCGTGCTTCAAAGTACGTCTACCTTTTACATAATGACCTAATACCTGGGATTTTCCCCAACAAAAAATAAGCAGTGGTTGATTCTGAGGATAATGAATGTGTGGTTGGTCCACGGTGCTTGTACACGACTCCCTGGAAGTCTGTCACTGGGAAGAGTCCCACAGATTCACACCTGTGAGCATTTAGTGGTCCTCTGACTACCTGGCTGCAGCTCTGTCTCTGTGAAGAAGTAATGTACAGCACCTGAACATGAGAGTCCCAGGGTAACGGAACGAGGACACACAAACCACACACACAGAGGACAGAGCCACAAAGGCTCATCTCGCTGTGAGGTAGCGCCATCTAGTCACTGAGTCACTGAGCCGTTCCAGCCAAACAAAGAGTTTATGAGACAGGAAATGTCAGCATTGGTTGATTATGTCCAAAATAGTGATGACAGACACAGTCCAGCACCTGAACCAAACAATAGAAGGGTTTGACCTTTGACAGCTGCTCATTTCCAACACTGTTTAAAGGACAGAGCCTCCATTTTTTTAACCGACCTACTGTAAACGCGGCCTCTGTTTGAATGAAGTGACCTCCCAGCCATTCAGTGGAAACCAGCTGGCATAAGCATTATGCACTAATGCTGCAAAGCCTTTTACTTGACAACCGCATTAATATTTCACAATAGTTTGGTGGAATACGAATCAATCCAGCAGACATCACACAGCTCTAGATTACTTCACCACAGCAGTGTCAGAGCTGTATGGATTTCTCCCCGAGCCGCTGTGATCAATGTCAGATTGACTGATGTGGACCGTGATAGGCCCGTGTGCTGCTGCGGCTGCTGCTTTCCATCAAAAGCATGTCCAGCTCGCTCCTGTCCGACATTAAAGTACACACCAGTCCACATGTTTTTACTGCTGATGCAGAGTGAGCAGTCAGTCTGCCGCTCGCCTGCGCCGCTCTGCAGCTGTAGTAGATCTATCATTTCTTTTTTTTCCTCCTCCACAGGCGTTTCTATATATCTGTGTGTGTCCACCTCCTCTCTCCCTTCTTGGGTGTGTAAATAAGCTGGTACTGTGAAGACCCTGGAGAGTTCCTCCCCCTCCCGCACTTCTCCACTACAACCTTCACACTTCAAAGTCCCATGCCTGCTCAGACTCCGATGCCGCTCTCCGTGCTGCTGGGAGGCAACGGGGAGATGCTCAGATGATCCACTGGGCCATCGTTACGTACATCGTCCGCACAGCCTGAGATAAGAAAGACTAACTACTGGGAGAGTGAAAGAGCCCTCTGAGGGGTGCAGTAAATACCCTGGGAGCTCCGCCCACCAAGCCTGGCAGAAAGCTTGGCTTGTCCCTTCCCTACCATATCCCCTGAGATGCCCTCTCTTCCTAACGATGGTGGTGAGTAGGTTGATGGTGTAATAGTTACCTTTTTGGAGTCGTTATTGCATATATGTGTATACACACACACACACACACATACTGCCCCTCCTCTGCTCAACCACGATCTGTGACTGTATCTCGTTGTTTCACGGTCTGCTGTCTCGTCCTCCAGAGGATCAACGAGCGTCCCCCATGAAGGCACCATCTGTGGTCTCCTACCAGGGCAGTGGGAAGAGGAAGGTGCACTCAAAAAAGAAGAAAAGCTCCATCACCGCCAACATCACAGGCACCAAATATGAGATCGGTACAGAGTGTTCACAATCACATGCATTTGAAATCCTGAATTAAACAACAAAACGATTTATTTTTTTATTTTTTAGAAGACTCGGTAGAATTGCGTTTAGACAGTTTGTGTTATGGCGGACATTTACGACGTCTGTGAATCTCAAAGAATAAAACTGACTATTTGATTGGGTTTAATTCCTGGATATTGAAAATGGAGCGACACCCGTCTTTTGGATTGACCTGCACGTCAGATGATTGGACTGTGGAACAGTTCATTCTATTTTAATTTTATAAACACTTCTGTGTCAGTCACTGGAAACACTGTAAATCCAATTACAGCATTGTCTCAATGCTCAAATCTAATTCCCTTCAGCAGATTTCTTGACAGAATATTTTAAATTTAAATCCTTTGCATTCAGGCTTTACATAAATCGTTATTAAGATAATTTTACTCTGCCTGAAGGTTTGTGGAGAGGAACAAAAGGCCGTAGTAAGCACTCTTCCCGTGCTCTGTGTGTTGTGTGGCAGCACAGCTCTCAGGGGTGAACTACAGCCTGTGAAACTAAGGAGTCAGCAACAGAAAGCACAAGTCAGACGCTGCCGGGATTCTGTCGGCAGATAGCAGTCCCGCTAAGTATCCTGTGGACTTGCTGTGTCGAGACCCTCTCAGTGGCCATTCTGAGGCTGGGGCAAAGCTATTTTGTAAGGAAATTAACACTTTGGACAAAACGGATTGTTCAGTTTCACTGTTCTCCTGTTTCGGCCTATTTTTTGTCCAGTTTTTGTTAATGCAGGTAAAGGTTAAAGGTTAAACAGTGCAGTGTTATGTTTATTTTTTTGCTCAACTTTTTCTTTAAGGAACTTGGTGCAGTATAATGTGTGAAATAACATTGGTTTTTAGCTGTTCACGGTGACCACTGTGTGCTTCCTGTTTTGGACGGTGAAACACGGATAGTTCCCACTGATATTCCTGGATAAATGAAGTCACATCGGAATCAAACCTTTTCCAGTTCAAGTGCCATCATGCAACATTAAGCTTCTCCAGATTCTTGCAAGCTTTCGAGAAAAAATAATTAATATTGCGTTTCGTTAGGGCATATGAATTTTTCATTAGTCACTGAATAATGAATAGTTGTTGGATTAATGTCAGAATGAGCCTGCCACCTATCTGTCATACCTGGGGTTTCAGTCGGGACATGAATTTATTATAGACAATTAATTAATCTTTTTCAAGATAAGCATCACGATTGGCTGCCTGCGCTGCAACCATAACAGCTGATGGCTAATATTTCTGTTAGCTGTTTGATCTGTAACATTCTCGACCCATTTCCCTCTTAATGTATGCAAGAACGGAAAATGAGCAAAGCCATGGGTTATTTATAATTATATAAATGTCACTTTAGATATTTTTTATCCATGTAACTGTTAGTGTTTTTTTAAAAATAATCTTTTAAAAAACATCTATAAAGGAATCCTTTTAATTGTGCTTTTCTATTTAGTGTTTTTTTTTTAATATCTTTAAAAAAATCAGCTTAAAAGGAATCCTTTTAATTGTGCTTTTCTCCTGTAGTTCGGATAGTCATCAGTGAGATGAGTTTCATCAAGACCCGGGATGATGACGAGACCGCCAACCTCATCTGGAATGATTCGGCCGTGCAGCACGAGAAAATCGCGGAGCTCAGGAATTATCAGGTGAGCTGTGAGGCCGCAGTGTCGAGTGGTGTCAGTCATAGAATCTGACTCTGAATCTGAATCTGAGATTTGATCTGATTAATTTCACACCAGAATAGGGGCTGTAGGCATATATATTTTATTTATATTCAATATATATATGGATTACTATTCTTAGCTGATTATGTGCAGGTTTAGTTTACAAAAATCTTTACTGAGATCTGGATAAAAATGATAAAAGAAAATATATACATACTGTATATATTAAAAATTACAACATGGTATTTATATACACATATATATATAAAACACATTATATATACACATATTACATATATAGTTAATATGGCATATATTTGTATATTTTTGTGTGTGAGGGGCTGTAGTTACATTTCATGGTAAATAATACTTTTTTCTTTTACCTTTTTTTTACTTTCTTATGAGAATAGAACTAGAGAGTTGTACCTTGTATGAATCAGGTGTTGACCAGATCGACTCGATCCTTGTTAGTGCTGCCAGTGACGCCTCACACCACAACTTCTCTGGGTGTTGACCCCTGTGACCTTCCTGCCCTAAGAGCTGTTGGCTGTGAAGGTTAAAACAACAGCCATTAGAGAACAGCGTTAGAAACAGTTGCTAATGATGTACGAGTTTGCGCATCTTATTAAAAGGCCAATTAGATGAGATCTAAAAATAATAAATAAATCATGGCTCAGGCGGTGACACAGAATAAAGAATATAAAAGAAGATGGACTTACGATGATTGTGCCCATCTGCTTTTTCTCAGACCTCAGAAGGAGAGAGAAAGAAAATCAAATAGAAGAGAGTGGTGGCCTTTACCAGGAGGAACAACAGAGCAAACACACAGACAGATGGGAAGACTGACAGGCAGACTGACAAGTTGTGAACAGCCGGGGCTGTTGGAGTAGGTTCCAAACGCCACCAGTGATGTTGATGAGACAGGTCTAAACAAACAGGGTTACGGCGAGGTCTCTGTATTAGTCTGAACAGGAGCTCACCTCCGTTTGACCTCCCTGTCCTACGGAGTGAACTTGGCTGCTCCCCCTCTTCTCTGAGTATTAGCAATCCATCTCACCCAGTGCCTGTTTGATTAGATTGGGCACAAATGATCGATTAAATCTCATGCTAGTCACAGAGACTGCAGCTTGTTAGGATAGGGCAGTGAGAGTTCAGCCAAGCAGATTGAATATTGGAAATAGTGTAACAGATTAACTCCCAGCCGTGTGGCACAGTATTTCACACAGACCGGGTGATGTGTTGTCTGTTGTTGTCTGTTGCCTTCACTGGTTACTGTGCGCCGCCACGGTGTTTCATAAACTGATCGCTTAGATGAAACGTGCAGGTCCCTAAACAATTGCTTTTGATTTCCCTTCACAGGCCACGCAGCACTTGCATAATTGTGCAATTCTTCTGAAACCTTAATTACATCTGTCTCGTTTGGATAATAACCATAGATTCCTTCTTTGGACTCTGCATTCTTGTTTCTTGCTCACGCTCCGCTCTTCTGTTAATTCTTTCCTCCTTTTTTTTTCCTCTTCTAAGTGATTACGGTGTAAGCTGCTGTCAGGTTTTAGTTCATACCAGCCTAATTAACGCCCCTGTTCAGGCTCATTTGGTCAGAGAATACAGAAAGTCCAGAGTTTTTCCGTTACCCCCCACCCTCCTTCTACACATTCAAAGCAATTCATTCAACTGTCACTGCAGGAGCTTGCGATGCAGAACCAATTACCTTGGCCCCTCAGAGTTGAGATTGATCTTTTCCCCCCCTCTCCCCTTTCCTCCCCAACCCTTAATGTATTAAAAAAACATGGTAAACTAAATAAGGGTTGTGAAAGGTCTCAACGTCACCTTTTTGTTTTGAGTCCGTAATTGGGCATAAATGTCAGGACGTCGTGGGCTCCCTTCAGGTTCCTGCCTTTAATGTGCTCATTTTTATGAAAGGGTGGGGGTAGAACTGTGTAGTATAATGGCCCTAACAACATTATTATGTCTGCATGTCCCTCTGCAGAGAATTAACCATTTCCCTGGCATGGGCGAAATCTGCCGGAAAGACTGCCTTGCAAGAAACATGTCCAAGTAAGTTTTCTGTCCATCACATGATGTGTGAGCATTTTTATTATGCTTGAAATTCACCAGACTAAGACTAAGGTTCTGGACAAATTGTGAAGAGTTTTTTGACAACCTGCTTCTCTGCCTCATGGACTTATGTCAGAACCTGTTGCAAAACCTCAACAATTTTACCAGGTTTCCATTCAGGCTTGGCAAAAAAAATGTGATGGCAAACAGGTCAGAGCTGGACAGGTACAAAAACCTGATGGAGATGACTGAGAGAACTCCTCTTTGTGTTTGGAGAAGAACATCTCGTAGCTGTGTGTTCTCTAACTCGTAGCATTCCACCAATGGTATAAAAACAACAACAAAAACACGGTGGAGACGTGAGAGAGTGTTGTGGAGGCACACGTTCTACTCTGTTCACTGGAAAGAAACAAACAAACCTTGTTATGAAAAACAAATGCAAATGATCACTGTGAGAAGTCACTACAGTCTTTGCCCTCTCTCCAGAATGATCAAGTGCCAGTCTCAAGAATACAGCTTCATACCCAAGACCTGGATCTTCCCTGCTGAATACACTCAGTTCCAGAACTATGTAAAGGAGCTGCGCAGGAAACGCAAGCAGAAGACCTTCATCGTCAAACCTGCCAATGGAGCCATGGGTCACGGGTAGGTCAAACCAGAGTTCCCCCAGATCAGCCGTAGGACAGAGAGATGAAGGGGACGTGGAGGAGGACAGAGACGGACTAGTAAATAAGGCCAGGGTTTTCAGATTAGTAGCTTTTTCATAAACTGATGGTTACAGTGCAGCTGTAGCTGTGAGTGAATCAAAAACATCAGTCAAAAATATAGTCAAAAGGCTGAAAGATTTGTTTAGAATCTCGACCAATAGCTCATGATCTGTTGTTATCGTTTTTGCCTCTTCTGTGAGTTAGTCAAGAAGAGTTAATAAATATTTGTCCCAGTAATCACTGACCTTTGCTGAATAGCTGTATTTGGTAAAACGTGTGCACTTTGTATCATTAATGACAACATTGTCTATGACAGAACGACTGCTCCTCTGATCTCAGCACAGGATCTGTATTGATTTTTCAACAAATCACTCCAACTTTTAAATTTTCTTCAGGGCTTTTTTTTTTTCTCCTAAAAACTGGGTTTTTCTTTCTCTTTCCAGAGGGCAATGGTTTATGGTTTGGTCTGCAGTTACAGAGAAAAGACCAAAATGAATTAAAAAATGTATAGTTTTTAAGTTTTAAGCTGCACTAATATTGAATGTTGGTTTTTGAAGACTGGAAGAGAGAGAACCAACATTTATTTTTGATTTTGCTGAACTACAGGCGAGAATGTCTTCAAACTGCTCACTTTGGGAAAGTGCCAGGAGTGGAGTATTTTAGAAAACATTTATCACAGTCACCAATAGGTGGGGGTGTTGAAGTACAAATAGCTCACCGGTCTCCAGCTTTTCCTCTCATTCTTTTTAAATTTGTCCTTTTGGGTATAATGTAAACATTACTTATACCTCTGTGCTGCTCTAAGCTCGTATTTATTAAAGAATAAAGGGCTGCAGAGGCTGAATTATTACAGTACATTAGGAATATAAAAGATGATGAGTTAAGCTCGACCATTCAAATGCAGGCAGCTCACATGATTAGATTTTTCTCTTTTTTTTTTCTTGCATGGTCTGACGCGGCAGGAAATTAAGTTATGTCTACCTCGGTGTAATTTATTTTTCCGTCGGCCAACTAAATGAAGTTATTGTTTGTCTGGAGCGCAGCCTGTTATATGGGAAACAAAATAAAAGCATGTGTGTTGCTTAAAAAGGCGAGATCCCCTCCGGTGCCAAATTAAATAGGCAGGGGAGAGTGGGCTGTGATTATCTGACACCTCGGCTCATCAATCATGTCGTCTTCTCCTCAGCGACTCCTTCTCAACTAACTAACACTGTTAACCCTGTCCTCATCATTCAGCCTGCTGTCTCCCAGTAAGAAGAGACTCACACACCATTGATCAGCTCCTCAGATTCCCCCTCTATTCTCCTTTGTTGTTGAGTGGTGATAAGCAGACCAATGAAGCCCGGTCTTGTAGTCGTGTCGTGGGTCAGAGTGAGTAGTGATTGATAAGCCCAAAGCAACAGCAACGACCAGTCATAGTTCTGTGCCCTGAAATAAGGAAAACTCAAAGACAAAAACTTATAAAACCCCTGAAGAAAAGCTGGACTCCAGTTTAGTTATGCCATTTTCCTCCTACGCTTTCAAAAAGAGTTCTGGTTGTAATCACAGAAGCTGCAGGAAATGTGCGATGTTTGCCTTCTGGTGGCTTAGTGCCACACTACCTCGATACCTCAAACGTACTTTCCTCAACACTCGGGCCCTGCAGGCAGAGCATGTAGCCAATTTAACCCACGTCGGCCCTAACTATGAATGATGGCGTTCCAGGTCAGTCCTGTTGCCTGTACATAGTGGCAGATTGTTTAAAAATGACCCCCACACTCCTGGCCCACAACCACATACACATGCTGGCACAGCCACATCAACACACACCAGGTAACACAACTCAATCATGTGACCAGTTAGCACTGCTCTGCAAACTTTAAGGCTTGAGTAAAAGTGACACGAGACCAAAGCAGATCAATTAAAGCGCAGCTTGAGATTCAGCAGAGTTTCCCAGTTACTTGCCTTCAGCTGCAAGACTCTGCTACAGCGTGTGATGCTTTGTACCATTAGGATATATTGCCTGTTTGGGTTTCTTTTTTTTTTTTTTAAATCACAGTATTTTCCAGATGCTTGGATAACATCACCCAGACAAAGCAAAATGATTTTCTTGTGCATTTATTTTCCAGCTGTTCAGTGAAGAGATTAGAAATTCTTGGGGATGTTTTAATATCCCCACAAAACTGAACAGCTTGTCCTGTTTAAAGTCAACCCAAGGCATAACTGCTCTCATTTACATCTCTTTTTTTGTTAAATAAGAAAGTCTCCATCAGTGGAAGATCAAGAAGAACTTACTATTTACCAAAACAAATGTCAAAAGGAAGTAAATATCTTTGACCTTTGACCCCATCTGTGCCTTTTGTAAACAATTACATCGAACATTTATTCCCTTAAGGTAGAAGCAGAGCAGAGTCATCACTTAGGTTTTGTTTTACTAATATATTACAGACTATAGTTACAGAAAAGCCTTTTCAAATATACTGTATTTGATGTAGAACATTTGCAAATGACTGCAAATTAGAAAAGCACATGTTAAAACCAATAAATCTGCTATTCTGTTTAAGCAGGGGTTTTGCTTCAGCACATATACAAGAGCGTGCCGACATCATCCGTCATATTCGTGGTCCCTGCTATGTTCCCATCTATCATTTTTTTAATTATCTTTTTGTCTTTACTGTGCCATATTTTATTATGCTGCCGACGACACCCCAATTTCCCCCTGAGGATTAATAAAGCTTCTGTCTACCCAGGATCTCGCTTATCCGTAACTGTGAGAAGTTGCCAGCCCAGGAGCACTTCATCGTTCAGGAGTACCTGGACAAGCCCTTCCTGATGGAGGGCTACAAGTTTGATCTGCGCATCTACATCCTCGTCACCTCCTGCGACCCGCTGCGCATTTTCCTCTACAACGACGGCTTGGTTCGTATGGGAACAGAGAAATACCACGCCCCCAGTGAAGCCAACCTGGTAGGTGACAAACAAACAGAGCGTTGATGGAGAGGCACCTTTAAAGGAATACAGTTGCATTAGTCTGTTTAATGACAGTGTTTTTAAGCCAAACAAAAGTATCTATAGTTTAACTCACTGCAGTGTTTGTAGATGTAAATATTAAACCTATACTGTATGTGTGCCATTTGTTCACAATAGTGATGTTTGTCTGGAAGTAAATACAAAAACTGGACGTCTCTTCAGTCAATAACCCTGTGTGTGTGTGTGAGACTGTGTGTGTGAGAGAGACTGTGTGTGTGAGACTGGCTAAAGACCGTTTGCAAGACTAGATTAACGTGACATTGATTTGCTATAGGCTGTATGGACTGGATCCATGTAAATCAACATAATCAGATCAGACACACAAACATACAGGACGACAGAGCTGGAGAAACACAACATCAAATACACAACATCAAATACACTCTGAAGATGCTAGAAATTACCAGAAAAAAGTGAAATCACACAGTAAACAGTACTTTAATTGTGCCAGAAAGGTAATTATTAAATAACAGAGTATAAAGAGACGCTCACTGATCTGTTCTGAGGATGTATTTGTTGATGTACACCCTGTTCTGAAGGGAACTGGAGGATATAACTGAGCTCACTTTTAATGTTTATTTTTTTTGCTGTCCTAATCCCAAAGTTCCTTCACATTTAGACTAAACCAGACTAGACCTAAACCTCTCCTGGTTTAATCTGGAGGTTTTACTTCTCTCTCCTGGTTTAATCTGGAGGTTTTACACACACACACACAGAGTGGCCTGTGTCTGTGGAACAGGTGGGTGTTGTCTTACCTGTTCTGTGACACATGATGGAGTGATCCAGGGAGATGGATGTTCAATCCCACACAGAGTGGCTTTCAGACAGCCATCAGGGCTGAGAGTGGCCGGCAGTCACACTGTTATTATCTTGTAGGCTAAAGGCAAGGAAGTGTCGTCCTGGTCTGTGAGTGATGGGGGTTAAAAGATACAGACAGGTTATATAGACAAGCACTGAGTTCTGTTTTTCTGCCTCTGATTGTCCAAACCTCAGTTTAAAGTGAATTGTTGCTCCAGGTTAACATGCTAAAGATGCTAATGAATCTGCTGGGACTGACTGAAAACAGCACTGTGAACGCTACGTTTGAAAAAACAAACCCATCGATGACTATTTATATGACACTTTTCAGCAGATGTACAGACAAACACATGCATTCAGACGTTTGTATTTGACCAGTAACTCTTCTGTCCTTACAGAGTCAGCTCTACATGCATCTGACTAACTATTCTGTAAACAAACACAACGAAAACTTCGAGCGGGACGAGACCGTTGACAAAGGCAGCAAGAGGTCGATCAGCTGGTTCACCGAGTTCCTCCGCAGCAACGACTACGACGTGGCCAAGTTCTGGGGTGACGTCTCTGTACGTGTGGAGTCTGTACAAACAGACGTAAACATACATTCAACACAGTTGAACGCTGACATATGTTCTGGCTGACGTGTTGCTGTGACGAAAGAGAGGATGAGTTGTACGATAACGCCACACCACAAACGCAAACAACACGTGTACACATCTGTTGGTGGGCTCTTCTTTACAACCCACATGGGTCGCAGACAATACACAAGTGAACCAGGATCGAGTTGATGTAATTAGTTATGACAGTAGGCAGTGAACATCAGAGCTTTGTTTAAAGAGCAGGGCAGAAGGTTCCAGATCCACGGTCCTCACTTCAACCAAACACCTTCATTTCATTACTCCGTTCTCATCAGTGTTTTTTCTTGTTTTGTTTTTTTGCTGTGATATTTGTTCTTCTTTTTGAACTCGACCTGCTGTTAGTTGTTTGTGACGTAACGCCCTCTAGTATTGATCTGTTTTACATTATCCTATCACAATATTAGCAAATAAATAAATAACCCAAAAATGTCCCAAAACCAAAATCTGACCAGTTCCCAGATACATGATAACTATCAAATCATGTGATAAAATAATATAAAAAATATATAAAATAATATATTGGTTTTGGCAAAATGGTGAAAATCCTTATATATATAAAATAATGGTTTTGGCTTTTCAAACCAAATACTTTAACACAGTCACAGACATCAGGCAAAATGTTGAAAATCCTTAAGGGTTGGATAAAAACAGGACATTTAAATAAAATAAATGATGATAATTGAGATGAGCAACAGAAAAGCTCAGTTTAGTGATATTTTTCAGGACATTGATTTTTGTATTTCACATGGAAAATAAATGTATAATCTGAGCTACAGTTGGAGTCGTAACCACACGAGCAGAGATTTAAAATCACACACATGCAAACACAGTCACAGTGCTGAGCTGAGGACACGAGCATGAATACACACCCAGCCGTTAGCACAGGGACAGGAGGCACAACCAGTGGGACCAGGTGTTTGTGATGGGCAGCCTGTGGGCCACAACGTTTGATGGGTAGATTGATAGAGGTGCACAGACAATATACAGATTCAAAAAAAAAAAAAAAAAAAAACCTCTAATGTTGCTGGTTCCAGATTATTTTGTCTCTCACCCAGCGTTTTGAGACAGACTGGTGAACTGAGTCCAGCAGCATCATGGGGGAACCTTGTTTGATGGGAAGTGTTGCCCAGTGTGTGTGTGTTTGTGTGTGTGTGCGTGTTTGTGTTATACCCAGTGGAAGTGGGCAGACAAACACATGTACCACGGTTCAGGACGTAGACAGACAAACTGCAGCCAATGTCTGAGACAGTGGAAATAGGTGATGTTTGAAAAGATTAAATAATTATTAATATTATTATTATTTAAAAAAAATATTTTATATTTGAATAACAAAAAACCTGCTTTCAAACACCAAATCTGTAGGTCCATCCATATTATTTACCATGAACAAAATCTAAAAATGTAAAAGGACCAATTCTTTGTAAAAAATAAATCAATACCTAAATTAAATTAAAAGAAAAAAAATCTTAATAATAAACCAGTTGATCGCAGTGTTATTATCTCTCATCATTATTATTTTTGTCCTTGTAGGAGCTGGTGGTTAAAACGTTAATAGTTGCCGAGCCGCATGTGCTGCACGCCTACCGCATGTGTCGCCCTGGTCAGCCACCAGGGAGCGACAGTGTCTGCTTTGAGGTTCTGGGCTTTGACATTATCCTGGATCGCAAACTGAAACCCTGGCTACTGGAGGTAGGTGTTACGACACTGTACATCAATGTTAATCTGTTTGTATATAACAGAAAAAAAAATTAAATTCAAATTATATTTAAATGAAAATGATAAAATTAGAATTTTAAATTCTAATTATATTTTTTTAAATGAAAATGATAAAATTAGAATTGAACAACGGGGAAAATGACAACAATCAAAACAATGGAATGATTAACTTGATTCAGGTCAACCTTTAAAACTGAACACACGTGGAAAAATAATCCCCTTTTTTGGTCTGTCAGTTATGGCAGATTTTGACCGTGTGCGTGCCTTTTTCCAGTCAGGAAGCAGAGAGCAGCAGTCTGTGGAAGCTCAGCTGCGTGGTGTTAGTAAAGTGACAACATTGCTTAAACTCAAGCCCCGTGGTATCAGCAGGAGAGAGGGAGACTCTGCCACACACTGACAGAAAGCATAAACACACACTGATTTTGTATACACGCTCTTGTTGGTGGAGAACAGAAATGCACCCAAACAGCGAGCGGTCTCGTGTGTGTTTGTGTGTCGCTGTTCAACATACGCCTGAGCTAAATGAGAGGAGTGTACGAAAACAAAAACAAAAAAAAACTGAAATAGCAAAGTGCAATTACATGCATGTGTGCACTTCAGCAGCCACATGTCCACGTATCAACACCCAGGCACAAGTATAGAAGTCAGGACACACTTCACTCTCATCGAGACGTTTACCTGTAAAAGGTGAAATAAATACAGGTCAGAGCAGCAGGTCAGAGGGTCAGGGTCAGTCACAGGAGAAATGAGGCTCTAAATCCACCCCTGGTTTTCTGACTCACCATCCTGATGTCAGCCAGACGGTTAAAGTGTGACCTAAATCCCTTAACCTAAAGTGGCTGAACCCCCCCCTCACACCCCCCTCCCCCCTTCGTTCCTACCTCCCTTCCCACAAATTGAGTCAAGGATGGGAAATGCCTCTGGGATAATTGTTTGGTTTTTTTTCATCTGGCCAACCCAAAATAAATTCTGCGGTCTCCCCCAAAGTAAGAAAAAAAAATAGTGAAAACAGTGACATTTGGTGGTTGGTTGTTTGTTTCACCGTAGAATCAGTGATGGATAATTACACTCTCTGAACGATACTGTGTGATAACGGGACGTAGAAAGAGACAAACAGAGTTGTCCCCACCTTCCCACCGCTCCTGCATTTGCTTTTGTGTGAGTGAAACTGTGTACGAGACGTGGCAAACAGCCATGAATGCAGTTGTTCCACTTCAGTAGTAATGATCCCCCCTGTGCTGCGAGCAGCTCTCTATAACTCTCTTCAATTAACGACCCCCCCATAACACACACACACACACACACACACACAGTCCTGCTTCTCTTTCACGCAACATTTACACCAGCGATCATTTATTTCCAAAATTCAACTGATTAGTCGGGGGATAGGTACAGAGACCCTTTCTCAAATCGTTCTTTTAAAGCTGAAAAAATACTTTATTAATACCTTCAACCAGACTCTGTCTCGTTCTGTTTAAACTCACAGCACAGCCCATTAGTAGCCCAGGGCAACGCCTCAGGTTAAAAACTTAAAAAAACATGTTCAATATTTTTTGATTTTTTAAAAAAAATATTTCCACCTTTAAAAAAAATCACTTTACTAACCACCTGTCTGAGTTTTAACCAGTAGTAAAAAAAAATAGTAGTTTTGAGGTTGATGGGAACACAGCTGAGGTCTGGCAGGTTTGTTTTGAATTGGCGGACATTTCTCAGGTTTCCCCCTAGGTGTCACTGTTCATTACGCCTGCCGCGCCTTGTTGGTTGCTCTTTCCCCCGACTGCTGTCTGACAACGTCTTCCTCTTTATCCTTAAAAAACGTCAGAGTCGGTTGTCCGACGGGCGAAAAGCTCGACAGGAAATGAAAGTTCGACCTGTGTAAACTCAGAGTCAGGTGGAGACCTGGGCCACCACCTGGTGTCGTATGAGAGAAACTGTCGAGCGACATTATCCCTGTGTATTTACATTTCTGCCTCAGCTGTGAGCAGGAGGCTGAGGCTGAGTCTGAGGCTGAGGTTGAGGAGGGGGGGTCATCGGCTACAGAACAATCTGAAAAAGACGGTGTTTGAAAAATCAGTGACAACTTTTAATTAGGGACAAGTTGCTCTTTGTTGCGTGTTAGCCTGAGTCTTTGTTAGCATTGGACCACAGGCAGAAATTGTTACAAGAAAACTGTAAAAATACCAGAACAACACACAGAGCAGCCAGGGTTGAAATCACTGAAGGACAGAGTGATGTTTCTAAACCTGAGGCCAGTGGCTCACAGTGAGTTCAGGAGTTAAATAAAGAGACAGGGTTTTTGTCTGGTCCTTATCTTAATCTTGGGCTTTCAACACAAGTTTTACCTCCTTTTTGACATTGAAAACATCATTCTAACACACACACACACACACACACACACACACACACACACACTTTCCCAAACAGCGTAAGCAGAGATGCTACTTTTATTAAAGCAGCCCAGGCAGCATCTGCCTCTCCTACAGGAGGAGCAGTTTCACTGAGCCGTGATTTGCGTAGAAGCACACTTGGTTGCACTAATACACACACACACACACACACGTATACAAGAGCTCCTTCACAGTCTTTTTGAATTTTGGTTTGTTTGTTTGTGTTGCCTTTGCCAAGATGTTTGTTTTTCGAGCTTTTATTGAGTGTTTTGCTTTGTGTTTGAAAGCAAAACAGAAACAAAAATCAGACCAAAAATACAGAAGAAAAACAAAGATGATGCAGAAAAAACCCCTCCCTCATACATTCAAGTCAGGTCCAGGACTCTTTGGTGTTTGGTGCTGTCTGTAGAATGGGGTGTTGGGACAGAGAGACAACCAGTCCTCAGCAAATCCAGGGAAAGAAGAAAGGAGGATATTTATTTGTGGCTGACGTGAGGCCGTGGGCTCCATTATCACTCCTGAACCTTTCACGTCTCCCTGCAGCTTATCTGGGGTCCGTGCAGTGTAAGCTAGCATGACAAACGATGTCGAATGGAGAGGGGAAAACAAAAAATACATCACTTCATGTCTGATGTAGGGTGGACGAAGTCGAGGAGTAAAACACATCCAGAACAACACGTTTCCTTCAGCGCTGCGGCCTGAGCGTGTGTGAAACAGAACCTCAGTAAAAGAACCACTTATTGTTCTTGATGAGGGCTGGTTTGAGTTGCACTTGTTTTCCCACGTGCAGTAAAAGAAGAAACCACAAACTGTCAGCTTACACCGGGAAGAAACCGGTGTTTGCAGTGAGCATGAATAATTAGAAGTGTTGCCTGAACACAGACTCCCAGCAGCCCTGGTGCTGGACGACCTGGTTCTTGGGGCCGCGGCCCGTGTGTGATTGTTGGTTGTAGCCGCGTCACTACAGTTACTGCTGTGACTCTCTGTCCGTGTGTGTGTGTGGACGACAATTAGAATCTGGCTTCACCAAACAACCAAAGAGTTCGAGCACAGTGATTGGCCAATGAGGCGGGCGCGGTCAGGTCAAAGGTGGCACAGGTTTGCTCGTGGTTTTGTGTTGGCGTGTGTGAACTGGCATCTTGACCAAAGACCAACAGGCTGCAGGTGGACGGCTTCCCTCCCTCTCACTCCTCCTCTTCCTCCTCTTCCTCCTCTTCCTCCTCTTCCTCCTTCACCAACTTCCCTCTGTTTGGCCGCTGCGTCCCTGATTGTTTCAAGATGAGTTTGGTTGGCCTGTCTGTCCCTCAGAGCCAACATAAGCCAGACTTCCTTTTCCTCTGAGTGCAAGTGTGTGTGTGCTACGTGTATGTTACACACACACACACACACAGGCAAAGGTAAATAGACTCCACCATAAACACAAGCATTCAGAAACAAAACCTTGGATTTTTTTTTTCCTCTTCTCTCCCACATCCCCACAAACAAATTCAAAAATAATTCAATTTCCTGTGTGGAACAAACAGTGGCCGCCGTTCTACGTAAGCATTCAATTGAAATTCTATTTTATTTGGGCAGGCCAAGATTAAAAAAAGAAGAAAAATGTGAATGAAACAAAATTTTAACACAAGACTTTTCTTCCTGGAAATTTGGCACAGAGATTTAAAGGTCTGTCGGATGTTTTCTCCAGGAAATTTGAAAAGAGAATTTTACCTCCAACAGCTCAAGGCTGATTGAGGTGCAGTTTCTAGCTGTGCTCTGTGAAGAAATCCAATAATATTTTTTTTCAGCGCTAAATGATTTCAGTGATAGAATGTATCGAGTTTAATAAAACTCATAGTTTTTTTTTTTTTTTGCGAGACCTTTGACGAAGCAAAATTTCAAACTTTCACACAACAGGAGTCATCATTCTATTGTCTGTGGAAAACGTCCTCAACTTTGTGGGGCGTTCTTCTCCTTCTCAACCCTAGGTGGCAGTAGTTACCTACGAGCCACTTCTGGCTCATAAGAGGTTTATTAAAGAATAATTAGAATGATGTATGGGACTGTCTATCTCTATCCACATCCATTTTCCCCAACATGACTATTTTATGGAATAAGTATCAAATTAGGAGCGCACAGGCCTCATATGTGGGGCAGTTGAAAACACACCCCAGCATTTAGTCATTTATCACCGGGCTTGTGTGGCAGACGCCGTGACTGAGTGTCTGAGTGTCTGTGTGCACGCATGTGGTTTTGGAGGCAGGAATATTGCATGTTTGTGAGTGACATTTGGAACAATGGTGTGTGATTGAGCCTTAGAAGGAAGATGCATGTTCATAAATATTTATAACTGACAGGTTAAGACCTTAAGCTTGTTTTTATTTTTTATTTCTATTTTTTTTTTATAATTTGTCACATGTCTGTTGCTTGTTCGTAGTTGCTCAGCTAGGTTGGTATTCTGGGAGCAAGAGTTGAATATTTTGCAGTTAACATTTTGGTCAAGCAGACATTACACTTTTAATACCTAAGCTATAATATATATATATATGTATATATACATATATATATATATATGTGTGTGTGTGTGTGTGTGTGTGTGTGTCCTAAATTTAATTTAAAAACAAAAGTGTATTTTTATCTATCCTCTATATGTTAGGCAGCCCCCCCCCCCCCCCCCCCCCCCCCGTCTCCAGTTCTCATTTCACCATTGTGCGGTAACAATCACTACATTCTGACAGTGGTTGAACTGTGTCGATACCCTGGAGTGTGTGGGGCAGAGTGGGGAGGCTTGTCAGAGCAGCGGTTGTTTACACTGTGTCACAAATAATAAGAACTGCTCCTTTATCTGAACAGATTAATTACAAACAGCCCCTTACACTAGTTTGACGAGTGTTCTGGACACCGACACATTTGAATTCTTCAAGTCGTTCACTACTGGAAGAACAAGGCAGATCATTCCAGGTGTGAAGCTGCATGGTTGTTGTTTTTTTCTGCTCTTATTTGTTGATGGAAATTAAAGCAGCTGTAAAGTACGAATGTTGAGGGGTTCAGTTTATTGAAGACTGAACTGATGCTGTCTTAGGTCATCGGGAACTTTGAGGGACAAAATATTTCTGGACAATCACATTTTTCTCTAACTAGTTATTTCTAGTTATTTCTGTCTAAGTTGTTGTTTTTTTAGTTGCTTTAATAATAAGTATTTCAGGCCTGATTAGACAGTTTTGGTGGGCCAGATTCAGGCCACAGGCCACCAGTTGATGTACACCGACACACACCTTTAAAGTCTGATGTTTAGCTACAGAGACAGAGACAGTAGTAATGACTGTTACTACACTGGGGGGTTGTTTATTAATACAATATTTAATTTTATACGTTAATGAGATGTTGACTAAAGTAAAGTTCCTAATTTTTATTAAAAGTGTCTTGGCTCAAGTAAGATCTCCTTTAAGTCCACGCCAGGTTCATCAGAGTGTGGGGGGGTGTGTGTGTGTGTGTGTGGGGGGGGGGCTCTGGGAGCCTGTGGGGGTTCGTTAACAGTGTACATGACCGACTTTCTTTGTCAGAGAGAAAAAGAGAACATCGCAAAAAGAAAAGAACAAATAATATAACTAATGACCTGAAAAGTAAGGCCTACCAAGATCAGTGGGAGGAAAACTTAACGGAGACTAAGAGGAGCGAGCGCTCAGCAGGAGCGGTGGAAGCGTCCGCTCGTGGAAGCAGAGAGACAAAAGATTGAAAGAAAGCAAAGAGACAGAGAGTGCTGTGATGCTGTGATGGCCTGACTCCTCAAATCAGACCGAGGAATGAAGACGAGTAACAAGACGAGCATCACCAGGATTACCGTCCGTCCGTCCGTCCGTCCGTCCGTCTGCTTTTTACCTATAGGCTGAGCTGATTGTGAGGCTGGAGGTTTTCCATGGCGGCTGTCAAATGTGGCAGTGCTCTAAATGAAAAGCAGACCCGCTCCCTCTCTTTCCTCTGCAGGTTTTCTGCAGCCGCGGCAGAGTGGGTCGAAGAGGTGCTCTGTATTTTTCAGCACACAGAGAAATGTATTGTGAGGCTTATTCTCTTGAGTGAAAGAGTTGGATAGGGCCTCTGTTTCTTTTTTCCTCCTGGCACTGCTGGACATTCATCACCCATACCTTCCTTCTGATAAATGATTGCTGCAAAGAAAAACACACAGCTCTTACATCCATACAAACCCATTCTGTGTCGGTGCACATTTAGCAGCTCAGTCACAGTATTTGTTAATCTATCATCTGAGCTGCCCAAAAAAATGATGACCTCACAGTCCCAGAAGGACGTGCTCTACAGCTGCTGTACCCTACACTCATTAGTTCCTCTTCAGATTCTCTGCCTTTTAAGAGAATCGAGTCTCAATGCAGCCTACTTCCTCTGCAGCGCCCCCTCTTGTACATATGAATTCAACAGTCACAGCTAATTCTTCAGAAATCCACCAAACTGTTTGACCAAAGAAACAAAGATTACTGATGTGTTTGATCTACCGACAAAATTAAAGAGAATATGAAACTTTATCTGGCTGCGCCCCCAAAGGGGACCTGCTCCCCCGCTTTGAGAACCACCGCCTTAAGTGAGCTTCACTCCTAAAGGTTTTTTTTCGGCTCTTCTTTTATGCTTTGCATGCGGCGTAAAACTGCCAAACACGATTCAGTGGCGACCCCTGATGGAGGGACAAAGACCAGAGTGAGTCCCTGTTAATATCATCACTTCAGACAAACCAGTCACACTGAACTGAGCACCTTTTGTTTTGTGATTAGTGATGGTGAAACGGGGGTGAGAACGGGAGTAAAAGTCCGTGGAGGAAACGTACAAAACCCTAAGATCCTTTGGCATTTCTGTGAAAGAAGCTTTTCCAGCTTTTCCAGCTCCAAAACAGTTGGACATCAAACCAAGTTTCCTCATTGGCTTCTTCAACAATCCTTACATTCATCACTGGTGGATAGAGTGAAGCTACCATCCACTCCCAGGCCACTGATTGGCTCTGTGTTGCGGTGTTGGTGAAAGTACAGTTTGTGATTGGCTGTCTGAGGGCTTTGATGTCTTCAACTGTATCCAACTGCTTTTTCTCTGAAGGAAGAGACGTGTCTGACGTGAACACTCACCACCACTGTCACCTTTCACTGACATCTTTATCGGAGACTTCGTGGATGTTAAAAACTAAGCTACAAAACCAATAAAAACATGTGAAGGTGACAACCATGACAGACAACAACCTAAAAGAAACAGAATGCTACGTTGACCACCGCGTGTTTTTGGTATTTAGAACAAACTACCGTGTCTGTCTGAAGTCTTTCTAAATCTCTGATTTATTTAACTTCACTCCAGAAGACGTTTCCTCTGTTGACTTTTAAAAGATATAGATTACAAATGAAACCAGGTTAGAAACTGCAGACAGTATGAAAACTTGAACAGTTTGATGACGCGTCATGATTGATCCCAACAGTTAGGGCTTTTAGGTGGGCATCTGTTGCACAGTGATTTTAAATTAACCCCATGGGTGGATTTCATTCCAAGAACAGGTGCAGGTTCATTCAGCCTCCCACAGACCGCGCTCTTATTCTGCTGCTCTCTTTGCTGCCTCACGTCATTTTATCTCATCGTTGGAAAGAACGAATACAACGAAGGAGGGTGGGGGAGGGCGGGGGGGGTATATATATTTATATTTATATATATGTGCACTAGCATATTTATCATTTATGGTACACAACAGTAACAGGTTGACCAATGTGGTGCAGCAGTCCTCAGCAGAGGGTTAGTCACTGTCCATATGTGAATGTTTTTATATATCAAAGCATCAGAGGACTAAAAAGTTCCTAAGTTGTCCTCGTATTTTATTTCTTTGTCAACATCACTCTTCTCCTCATTTGCCCTTAATGCACCTCTGAACTTCCACAGCACTTCAATTTGAAAGAAAAGCAGGAGAAAAAAAGGGAGAAGCCCTGAAGAATAGTCTTTGTGAAGAATAACTTTCTCCTCTTTTCTCCGTCCTTCCAGATCAATCGAGCCCCCAGCTTTGGGACTGATCAGAAGATTGATTACGATGTGAAGAAAGGGGTGCTGCTCAATGCTCTCAAGCTCCTCAACATAAGGTATTGTTCTCCAAAGAGGTCGCAGACACACACACACACACACACACACACACACACACACATAAATCAAATCCAGAGAAGTGAGTTCCAGACAGGTGTGTTTTTATGAAGTCTATTTTCCAAAGATAATTTAACATTTTTTTTCACCTGATTCTTTTGGATACACAGTAAATTTGACTATTTATTTTTATTTGCTTCAGACTGATTCGATTGTTTTTTTTAAAAGAACAGAAGTTTTAGATGTAAAAATAAAATAAAAAATAAATAAAAAACGCTGTCCTTGTAAATGTGCCAGTTGCAGCAGACTCAAAGATAGATAATGGAAAGAACACAAAGCTCGGTCCATTGTGTGCTTTGTGCAGCTTCCAATGAGGTGTGCAGTTTGCGCATGTGCGTTTGGATTCTTCTAGCTCAGCTACCTTCTTCTGTTCTGTGGATTTCAGTTGCCGTTGTTTGCCCTGCTGGGTGTATTTATACACGCTTCCTGCCCCGCTCTTCACTGGCTTTGTGGCTGTTTTTTGTTTGCCTGTTTAGGTTACACATTCTGTCATTCTTGCGGTGTAATGTATTCGTTGAACATGTGTTGTGTGCGGGTGTGTGTTGGTTGAAGGCATGCTGTTCTGTCCCCTGGCTACAGTGAGTCTGTCCACTGATTGATCATCGTACACTAGACCTCTGGATCTCTGCTCCCCTTTTTTCTCTTTTTTTTTTTTTTTTTTCTCTTTGTGCTTGTCCTCCTCTTACTGCTCTAAATATAGTCTCTTCTCTACTAGTTACACGCAGCTCCCTCACAAACACACAATGGATCAATTCCATCCAGGCCCATACATCTACTTTGGTCAAATGTGGAGCATAAAACCCCGCTCCGTCCTCCTGCCCAGCTCCAGTCGGCCCAAGCCGTCCTCTTATCGGGATGAATTGTTTCGGGCCCGACGTTTGCTGCGTTCCCACAGATTAAAAAGAGCAATTTGATTATTTCGTGACAAATAAATCGTTAGAAGCTGTGAACGGTGGTGAAGGGCCTTTTTTATTCTCCCGTGGACAAAATGCTTATGTTCACAGTGGAGTGAATGGAGGCTTTGTTCTACCTCGCTCTCACACACGCGCGCTCGCACACTTTCCCCTTATATAGTAATGACTTTTGCTTCCCAAAAGGGAGGGGTGGTTGTTTGTGGAGGTAGGGGCCACTCTCAGCAGCCATCTGCGACAGCAACCGTATCAACGTGGGATCAATTGTGACCAGGCTGGAGCTCGGACACTGATAAACCTCAGACCTCCAACTGCACTCAATATCCAATTTAAAGGGCCGGCGATTGACTAACATGAATTGCCCCGTTCTCTGGACTGCAGTGGTCCACTTGTCCAGGACCAGTTCAGTTCAGTCTGTCTGACTGTAATGGGTTTTTGATTGTTCTTTCGTTTCGTTCCACAGTGTAATGATAACAATAACATCAGGCAGCAGCCTGTATCTTAGAAATATGTATATCAGAACAGCTGTTCTCCGTCAGCTGGTGTGACTGGGATCCTTTCAGTTGAGTTTGAATTCTTACCTTTTCTTCATCCTGATCCAGAGCCAGCGATAAGAAGCGTAACCTGGCCCAGCAGAAAGCCGAGGCTCAGAGACGGCTGTACGGACACGGCTCCATGAAGAAACTCTCAGCGACGTCCTCAGACTGGGAGAAACAGCGCCACACGCTGGAGAGAAGGCGAGAAGAGCTGGTAATGAATAAGAAAAGGCCAAAATTAGGGCTGTCAAAGATCACAGTTTACATCTTATTAATCCCAGTACAGCTGTACATTCATCCTGATTATATGTATCTTTGTGACCTACAGTTTAAGGTCACATTTTTAGGTGATTGTTCACTTGGAATCAGAAGTAAGAAGTTTTTGAACCAAAACAACACGAGCCAAGACTAAAAAGAAAAGCCGTAGTCAAAACACAGCTGTTCCCCTAACAGCATATATCAGATAATTAGCTCTGTGGAATTCAGAAAGCAGTGAAGTCGCTCTCATCGTGATGAGAGAATATGGCAGCTATTCTGCCCCCCCCCCATCCCCCCTCCTTCTTTGATTAGCCTTTTGTTTAGCCGCAGCGATAATAAGTGGGAACACGGTAGCAACATTCCTGGCTGCACCTCATCCATCAGGGCTGTTACATCTAAAGTACGAGGCGAACGTCAGGTGACTGGAGCCACGTAACACTCGGTTCTCAACAAGGCTGCGAGGCCGTGGAGAAGTGGAATAACTCCCTCCTCTCTCCCTGTGCCAAGTGGCTGTCTGAGCTCCATCCTCATTCTTTTGTCGCATTATAATAGACCTGATGGGGAAATGTTTTTCAGAACTTTGGTCTCGATTGGCTAAGGCTGTTTTTTTTTCCCTTCTTTCACTTCCTCCTCTCCTCTCTCCCCTCCACGCTGGAGCTTTTTTTCATGTGGCTGAGTGGCAGTGTCTTTCACCAGAATGTCTTACCTTTGTTTCTCTCCCATTTGTAGAGAGAGCGACTGGCACAGGTCCGCAAGCAGATCTCCAGGGAAGAGCATGAAAAGCAGCATCGGGGGAACTACAGGTAAAAAAGACGCAGAGCCGACCAGGCTACGCCGCTGCTTCTGAAAATCCTTGCGCTTCATTCATGGCAGCCTGTCGTACAGTTGAGGGCAGAATAATTAAGATGAGGCAGAACATTAAAGGCACTGCGGACAGACAGGGTTCAAAGAACAAGACAGAGTTACCTGTTCAGTGTTTCTGAATTTGCATCTGAGTCTGGTGGTTCCCAAAGTAGGGGGCAGGGCCCTCCTGTCTGCCTGAGGTCTGAGGTCGGTCTGTTTGAGGTCGGTCTGTCTGAGGTCGGTCTGTCTGAGGTCGGTCTGTGTGAGCAGACATTACATCTTCAGTATTGACCTCGTGACCTTGGAGCAGTGATGCAGGTTGACTATGAGGAAGTAGAGGTGTTTACACGACCTCAGTCTCCTCAGGTCACAGATAAACACAGTAGTTGTTTGGGGAAAAAAGAGGAAAGTGCACACCTCAGGGAGGAAGTTTCTGTACGTGTTAGAAGACGATGAAGTCTCCATTAACAGCTCTTTCAGCTCTACCTTTTCTGTTGCTCCATCCTTCCTCATCAGTCTTCCTCACTGATCCTCCAGCTTTTTCATGTGGCGCCGACAGCCGTGGCCGGAGGCTACGTGTTCTGTCCGTTCCATTCTGTTGAATCACACGTCTCGTCCTGTCCTGATGACTGAACTGATGGTTATTGTGTTGGGAGCGTTCTTCTTTGTTTGTCCATCATTGTTTACAAATCTTTATGTTCTAAATCGTGTTAATTCATTTGTGAAGATTATTAAATTCAAAGATTCTAAGTCATTTTCATGCAGAATAACTCTCACGGTTCATCTAATAATCCCAGTTCATCCACTTTTTAACCAGATACACAGTTGATACAAATGTTATTTACACACATGCTACGAAACTTTTCTGTTTCTTGAAGCAACTCAAGCTTAAAAATACATCATTAACATGACTTTAATCAACCAAAAATGTTTGCATATTTTTCCCGATTTTTTTTTCCACATGAACAATTCATTAACATTTTAATTTATATAAGTCACATTAACTGTTGTTAGCAATGTTTATTTATCTTGACTTTATTATGATAAATCATGACTAATTACAGTCATGATTTATAACGATTGACTGTGATTAATCAGATTTAAATCTTTAATCAGTTCAAAGTTCTAAAAAAAAAGACCTGAAACTAGAAACAAGGAGCACAAACGTCTGTGTTTACTGGGGTTAGAAATAAATATAAATAAAGGGTTGGAGTTTTCCTCTGGTGCAGCTCCTCCATTTTTACGTCTTTCCTCCACTTTATTCACTGATTTTCTTCCTCATCTCTTCACCTCCTGACAGTTCTGTCTCTACTCCTTTTTCTCATCGAAGATCACGGACACTTGCTTTTCATTCTGTCATTCCACTCCCTAGGATTTAAATTTCTTAATTTCTTCTTCTTCTACTTTTTATCTGCCATCTCTCTGCATTGATTTCTCTGATTCTCTTACTCGTCCTTCATTTAATCATTTTCACTTCTTCTTTTTTTTTTTTTTCTGTCTTTGCGGCGTCTGCAGGAGAATTTACCCCCCAGATGACAAGCTGCTGTTGGAAAAGTATGAAAGCCTACTCTCCGCCGCCTTTCAGACCTTCCTTGCTGGACGAGCTGCCTCTCTGCAGAAAGAAATGAATAATCCACTGAAGAGAATGAAGGCATGTGCATCACACACACACACACACACACACACACGCTGATCCTTGTGGTTTTTTGAGAATGTCCCTTGTTCCCAATGCATTTCCAAACCCAGTGGTTCCCAAAATGGGGGGCAGGTGCCCCCAGGTGGCGCTGTTTTATTGCAGGGATGACCATGAATTTTATTCATTTCATTTATCAGCGCCACAGAGGGGAGAGTTGACTGATTTGTAACTGATTTGTAATGAGAGCAGGTGTGTTGTAGGGATGAGAGTGTTAGAAATACAGTCTGATGGACTTTATATATTTATATATAAATATATTATAACTTTGTTTCCCTCTTTCTTTAACTGGAGCTGCTGTACCTGCTGTAGCTCACTGGAATAGAGAGGCCAAAACAGGCCAGCCCCGTGACCTGGCCATGATTAGTCAGGGTTAATTATTCACAGAGCAGGTAGTTGATCATAATTACACGTCAGCTGCTCCACTGCTGTATGTCCATGGAATTACACAGTGTCTCCTCTAAACCTTATTTTAAGGCTGCAGACTCTGACAGGACGTGTCATAATAACGAAGATGTTTCAACAAAAGTTGAATTTCAGCTGAGATGTCAATCAGAGTTTAGTGATTTTAAAAACACGTTGGAGGTTTAATTTATTAGAGAATTGTGATGTGGAGAGAAGAAGCTGTAGACTTTATGTTATGGCATCACCATGACAACAGTAGTGCTGCAGACTATAGGGAGTCAGGGAGGGGGGAGGGGGGGTTAGGAAGTAATAGATAACGATGGAGAAAGTTTTGAATGAGATTTTCCACAATTTTGTTCTTAATTCTGTGATAAATATCAAAACAAAAATATTGTGTTGTTTTAAATTCACCGAGTTATTTTGGTTTTATTGACCAGATTGTGGATCAACTCTTGTTAAGTTCTGCTGGATAACGACTTTAAAAGGACTTTGAAAGAAGAAGTGACACAACGTGATTACTGCAGGATTGAGAATGAACGTTAGAGTGAATGTTATCAACACTGTTGTTTCTCTGCTGCTGTTCTGAGGTGAAAAGGTCAAATGTGGAGAAGCTTTTCAGCAGTTCACTGACCTGGTAACTGACCTGGTAACTGACCTGGTTGAGTGATCATCCATTTAACATGTTTGAAAAAAAAACAAACAAACAAAAAAAACATTATTAAGGCCTCGTGTTATAATATATATATTATATAATATTAAATTTGAAATGTTATTTTGCTCTCTGGTCAATACTATCAACTATATTTCATTTGATATAATTTTATAAAACGCACAAATCATTACAAATACATATTTGTCATAGGTTGAATCTTATTGAAGAGTCTAATCTTAACACTTAATAACTAACCGCTTCAACTATTGAAATAAATAGTTAGATTTTTGAATTCAAATATATGTCTGTTTATACATATATTTACATGTATATGCCATAGGTAAATATATATATATGTGTAATGCAGACAAGAGTTTTGCTGGTGGTTTGAACCATAGCAGACCATCTGATGGTCGTGTCATGTTCTGGGAGTTTCTCACAGTTGCACAGGGACAGAGTTTGTTTTCCAGCTCACTGTCAACATATCGGTTCAGGCTGACAGACACTGCACCCACAGGAGTCGTGTGGGCTGCCTCGTGTGGGCTTCTCAGGACAGCCAATTGAAAAAAAAAAATGTCATGGACTATTTCCCTGTCAAAGAAAATATAGTTTTTTCTGTAATGGCAGCAATAACCTGCTGATGCATGTTGCCTGAAGTGATGAAGAGTCAGCGTTTCCATCATCAGTCACTGCAGCCCAGACATTCCAGCAGTAGGTGACACTGAAGGGTCAGCGTCCCAGGTTGACAGGGAGGCTGCACATTCAGTCCTACATTTATCTGACATGGAAAACAGAAATAAAGACAGAGTACTACTGAGTGCTGTTCAGTACTACAGTGTGTGAGTAGAAGAAGAGCAGAAATATTTTATCACCTGTGTGAATCCAAACACCACAGTGGATCTGGAAGATGAAATTATTGCATACCAAGTCATGCTAAGTATGTGGATTTTTAAAGTATATAATTGTTCTATTTTGCACAAAAAAAAAAAAAGAAAATCAGGAAGTAGAAAAAGGCTGGAGGACATTTTTCCCCAGTAAATATTTGATTAATAGAAATGTTAAGCATTTCTGATTAATTATCAGAATTATCAGCCACACAGACGCTGAGGAAAGTCAAGAAAAAGAATTTCATGATAAAACAGCAGGAAAATTAAATGAAAAAAAAACAACAACCAAAATTAAACTTCGACTCTGACTTCTTTGAATTTTGCCTAATTAAAGTGAACGTACAGCTGTACCTGAGTCACAACAAAGTCACACAGGAATCTGACTCTTCCTACGATCAGACGTCACAGTGGAACTGTTCTGGCTGCAGTGGCTTTAAAAAAAAAAAAAAAAAAATTAAATGATGCTCTTAGGAACGGGCCTACTGCCAGACTGTCCTCATCACAGCTTTAGCTCCCCCTGGGGTAACTGCGAGTTACACACCCACTTACACACACACCAGATGCAGCCTCAGGGGAGAGGAGTGGAGTTTACTGCACGTTGGTTTGTTAGACACTGAACAGTGTTTATTCAGGCCTCGGAGTCTTGGTGATAAATGACCTCTGATGAACGCACGGTCCGATGACGTCACGTCAGTCTGATGATGTCACGTCAGTCTGATGACGTCACGTCAGTCTGATGATGTCACGTCACACTTTAAGTTCTGTTTCTATCACGTCCTTGACTTTGTATGTAATGATCTGCTAACCAAACATCAGCCAGTGGAGCCTGTACTGAGGCTGAAACCACTGAGGCGTCGATACATTTAACCTAACCTGCTCTTTCTGTTTGATGAGAAAATGATTCATCTACTGTTTTATCTCTGCCACAGGAGGAAGACATCTTGGATTTGTTAGAACAATGTGAACTGGATGACGAGAAGCTGATGGGTAAATCCTCCAGGCAACGAGGCCCCAAGGTACGTGGAGTGAAGGAGTGACGGAGTGAAAGAGTGAAGGAGTGACAGAGTGAAGGAGTGAAGGAGTGACAGAGTGACAGAGTGAAGGAGTGACAGATAAAGGTGACCATGTGCCTCAGAGAGAGTGAAGGAGGTGGTCCTGGGGTTGAAGGCCAGGGAACACAGTCTACACAGTAGGGTATAAACCTAGTCTCAGGGTCACAGGGTCACAGGGTCACAGGGTCATGGCCAGAGTTTGATTCTCTTCTAATTAACAGAAGGATATTTGACTAATTGTTCGGCCTGATGCTGGAGTGTTCATCCTCACATAATTAACAGAAGGATATTTGTTTGTCTTCAAACCTATATTTGAATGAATCATACTTGGCCTGATGCTGGAGTGTTCATCCTCACAGCAAAGTTGAGAAAATTGCAAATTATTTAGTGAAATAAAAGGTGAAGGCTGCGCTGGTTCTTAGCAGGTTAGCAGAGAAAGACTGACATGAGAAGGAGTTCCAGAGAACAGAGGCAGCTCCTTCAGGGGACAGCTGTCAGACTCCTCCTCTTCTTTGTCTTCATCTGTCAGATTCACCTCCACGCCCACTCCGTTCTCCTCAGCAGCACGTTACTGCGTCCGTCATCTTCCGCTCCACTCCCCTTCCTTCATCTCTGCTCATTTACACCCGGCCCCTGACTTTAAGGGTTAAATTGTCCGGCGCTCTGAGAGTGGGTTCAGCTCTGCGTCAGGCTGAACCTGCTCAGACACAGTCACTATTGTCCAGATTAATTTGGGCCCCAGTCAGTATGGATGACGTGGAGTGTGGTGAAAGAGACGTTGAGAGGGGGGTGGGGGGGGGGGGGGGGGGGGTTGTGACGGATAGATTCACTCCTCTGGGCATAGAGCTCAAGAGCCATCTGGTGAAACTGAACCATGGAGTGAATGAAAGCTAGAGGAGAAAAGCGAAGCAAAGAGATTATAGGCAGGATTTAGTGGGAAGTCGACGCCTGGAGGTTCCATTTTACTGAGGAGATGTGAAGAGCAGGAGGGAAGGAAGTGAAAGAGTTATCTTGGCAAAGACGGCTTGAAGCTACTTCTAGGTTTGATTTTTTCTCTCTTGGTGTTTGTTCCTGGACCCACTGTCCTCCCAGCCTTTCACCCACTCTCACCCAAATGATCTAATCACCCCCCCCGCCCCCCCCACCTTCACCTTCATCTTCGAAGCATATGAGAAATTTCTATCACACACACACACACACACATGGCTGATGTTTAGCCTCCACTCTTTGTCTTGAGCTTCCTTTGTTTATCCACTGTCTCTCTCTCTCTCTCTCCCCCTGCCCCCCCCTCTGCCCTCTGTTTCTTTTCACTCCCATTCTTAAATTCATCTCCTCCTCCTCATTTCTCTGCTCATCCATCTGACGTTGCCCTTCTTTCCCTCTCGTTGGTTGACTCTCCATCACTCACCCACTCAGCTGCCCAGCGGTGACTGTGCTAACCCTCTGATCACATCCTGTCCATTAATTCAGGTTCCCAGACGGCTGTGCCTGAGCTAAGTGTTGAATAACAGATGTGTAAATGCTTTATTAATGTCGTCAGAACATTCCTTTCCAGCCCAGAAATCTGTCAAACGACTAAAACACAAAATAAAAGGTTAGTCAGTAAATATAAGGCTCACAAATTATAATTTAATCTTGGAATTTTCTAAAGAAAAATAAAATAAAATAACAATTTGATTGGGTCTTAAAAATGCATCGCATTTTTACAATTAGGAATTAATATAATTGTTTTTTTTTACTCAAAAACATCAGAGCAGAACAACATTTCTGTTCCTAAATATGGGACTCATTCCGTCTCAAACCGACGCCTTCCTTTGAATTTAACCTTTACATAATTAATCAAGTCAAATTTGTTAAAGGTATGAAAGCACTCGTGTTCCTATTTATAGTGACAGGAAGGCTTAGAACGGAGCGCATGTGTCACTGTGTATCTGTGCATAATGAGCCTGCGAGCAAACACACACGCGGGCGAGCCGTGTCACCACTGGGTCTCCGTGTGACAGATGGTAGCAGGCTGAAGGTGAGGGAGGCTGAGGGAGGCTGAGAGAGGCTGACAACAACTCAACATCTTCATGTGTGTGTGTGTGTGCACTTCTGCTTGTACATTTACTTATGCCCTTGTTAGAGGCAGTCTGATTGGAAGGATGATGTTTTTCCAAAATGATGTCAGTTTGAATTACAGTTAAAGGATCAACTCCAGTTGTTTGATTCTTCCAAGGAAATAAAAATGGACGTTTGTGCAGAGCAGGGTGTTCATCAGAGGTCAGCGAACCTTCGACACCGTCAGGCACGTTGTTCCCACTCACTATGTGAACGCTGTATTTTTGGTTTTGTCTCTCTTCCCCCTTTCTTCCACATTCTACCTGTGCCAGCCCTTGACCGCCATGCCAGAGTGCAGCCAGACACCCAGGCGCCAGCGACCCGACTATCTGGCTGATTTTACCAGCGCCAGCAGCGCCGACAACTCGTGTTCGTCTTCTGATGAGGATGAAGAGGACAGGGGGAAATCACGAGGAGGAAGAGGTGGAGAGAAGAAGGACAAGAAGGTGTCTTACCACCTCGAGGAGAGCAAGGACAAAGACTTGGCAGAGCGTTCAGGTAGATCCACCTTGAACCTCTCTGGGTTTATATCAGATCTGTCTTTTATTGACCAAAATTATAAAAGGCCTTTTCTTTCTCTAATATATATATAAATATATAGAGTTTATATTAGAGAAACTATAGACTATATATTTACTGGATATATATGTAAACCTGCCTCTGGTCTGTTGATATTAGAAACTTCATATTTTACTTTTTTTTCTGATGTTTGAACATTTGAACTTTTCTTTCGTACGGTGCATATTGTATTTTTTTTTTAAATTTCAGCCTAATTACATCAGGACGTCTTCAGTTTCTTTTTTTTTGACTAAGAGACAAATCATAAGGACAGTGAATGGAGCAGACTTTAACATATGTGATGATGTAACACAGGTATCAGAGCTGATGCTGCAAACACACGACATCTGCTCCATCCTGGTGTCAACTCTTTGAAGAGTGGAGTCTTGATTGTACAAAACTCTGCTCCATAGTGTAAAGTGCACACACACACACACTCACGCACACACTCGCCAACGTACAAATGAAGAGTTGTTACTTTGATCAGAGCGGGCGGTTTACGCATGTAACGTGTGAAGTAGCGTCCTCCAGAGGCCGCGGTGCAGATGTTCAGCAGTGGAACTAATTGATGTGATAAAATGGTAGCAGGTCCTCAGATTGTAATGAAAGCATAAGCAGGGTGATCATAGTGCCAGACTCATGGGAAGTCACTCTTTGTTGCTGATTTCCTAAGAGGAGCGACACGACTTCACAGCTGCAGACACCAAACACTTGGAAAAATTAGGCGTTGAAAAGCACTTGAGAAAAAAGAAAAGTGTCTTTAAATAGAGAAGATCCAGTAAATGGAGGCTAAAGGATGAGGCAGAGGTGAGGGAGGAAGAGCAGTTTGATACTCCATGAAACAAAAAAAGTTGTGCTTTGATATTTACCTTGAAAACACCTGGAGTGCTTGAATGTGTTTTTGTTCCAGAGTGGGAGCAGCAGGTCTGAAACGTTCCCACAAATAGACACACGTTAGACACGTGAACCGAGTGTCAGCTCTCTGGGGTGAAAATGAGGACACTCTTAACAGTAGTCTAAATGTGCTGACCTTGGGAGGGAGAAAAACACACACACACACACACACCTCTGCTTTGTGAACGACTCGATAGGAATGGAATAGAAATGGAGGAGAGTTGGAGAGCTGAACAGAAAGAGGGAAATAAAGCTGCACTTCATAACAAGCTAACAGTTGACTGAGCTCTGAAGAAATGTTAAGGTGAAGCAGCCGCACCACGGACCTCAGAAAAGTTCTGTTGGTCTCTTGTGAGCCAGGGTTACAGGGTGGGAGGACAGAAGTGTGAAGGATTTTCACAGTTTACAGACTGGACCGGCTGAGACTGGATCAGAACTGTTAGAAAAGTTCCTACGGGAATCATTTTCCCCGTTAACCCCTTCCTCCTGTTTTTTCCTGCAGGTCGTATTCACTGGAAACCACGGGTCAAACCACTCAAAACTAGCCCCGCCCCCTCCGCCTCACCAACACTGTCAGGTCCAATCAGACGCTCCATCTCTTGTCCTCGCTCCATTGCCTCCCTCTCGTCGCCCAGCGAGGTGCGAGCGTTGTCGACTAGGCCTTCGCCCACGGTTCCCATGGCGACTCCCCTCATCAGGCCGAGCTCTGCCACGCTTCGATCTCATTCGCTGAGCCGCACTGGCTCCTCCTCCCTCCGTGTGCCTCACAGCAACAGCCTGGGGACCATCCACGCCAACATGGTGAGAAGGAAACCGTCCAAACACAAACACGCTTCAAAGCCTAAACATTTTTAATCTTCATTCCTACATTTATTAAAACTAACTTTATTCTTTATCTCCTTTATTCATTATTTATTTAAACAGAATTTATTTAAACTCCACTAACTTTATTCTTTATTTAAACAGAATTTATTTAAACTCTCACCCAATGACGTTTGTCCTTCGTTCCTCCAACAGTCGTAGAGTTACAGAAACACTGGCCTCGTGTTTTTACCATCACAGACACAAATAATGACATACTTTTTAAATGACTATAATGACTGACCTGAGGTTTTCTCTGACCAAGACAGGAACGACTCAGTGGTTAGAAAATAACTTAATAATTAATTTACTTCAAATATTTAAATCACATCTAATCCTAGGATTAAACTTGTGTAAATGTGATCATTATTTCAGTTTTAAATAATCTTGAATCCCTTCTGTCTCTCATGTGGTTGTCTACAAACGTGTGAGAATATAAATATGTACTATGTTGTGTTGTGTGTGAGGGATTTCTACTGAAAGACGTTTGTGTGTGTTTGTGTTTGTGTGTGTTTCCACCTCAGGGTGATTCTCTAGTTAACCTGAGGAGTAAAGAGCAGGAAGCAGAGCTGGTGCGTCAGACTCTGGCTGCTCTCACTGCCATGAGGATCAGGTTTCCAGGTAAAACCGAAGAAGAGGCCGAGGCTGTGCTGGATGAGGTGGGTGAAAAGTTTTTTTTTTTTACTAAAAACCTACAAACATTATCCTTAAATAGTTTCCTGACACAGAGTCACTGAGATTCTGGTTCAGTTACAAAAAGAAAAAGAAAAAGAAAAAACCAAAAGGCGGCAGCGGTGAAGGTGGCAAACGTGTTGTACAGAAGTGCAGATCTTTTCGTACTCCCACAGTCCCCTCTGTGGCCAGGTGCGGTCACTCTGCAGCCTAACTAAAAGTGACCTCCTCCCCCTCCGCTCTAGCGTGTCCACATCGGCCTGGCGTTCGCCGTGTCACAAATGACCTCAGTGACAACCTGTCGCTCCGTCTGCGGCTCAGACTTATTCCCCGCTGCTCCTTTGTTTTAATCATGGCCTCCTCTATTTCTGGGCACACCTCTGTGTCCTGCCATCTGGTGTTTTCTTCCACTTGTGTTTCTGCTAAAACCATTAGCATTCATTTGTTTAATTTGTACTTTTAAAGACATACAGTACGGCTTGTGGTATATGGCTCATTAGTTTTTGTACTTATTTGTAATTGGTGGACGTGCTGTGCTGCTGGGAGCAGGCTGCTGGAAAAAAATTCAATAAAGTCAGGGTTTAGTACTGTTGAAATATTCAAATATTGGAATAAATTCCTGTAAGTTTTTAGACTAAATATAACTTCCTGCCGCCGCTCCATACTGTGTTTGACCTTTGTTGACCTACTGTCAAAAACAAAAGCACATCAGTCAGGAGGTTCATGAAAATGAGAGTGGATCTCTCTTTGCTCTTTCCTCTTCAGTGGTGTTGTGACAAACCTGACGGTGTAGTGGTTTGGCCCAGGTTTTATATGAACTGCCCTGACGTCGTGGACTCAGATACCTGTTCTAGTGTCAGAGTCGTACCCAGAAACATGCAGCGGTCCAGTCAGGTAGTGTTGTGTGTTTTCCTCTCTGACTTCAGCGTTGGCCTAATGAGTAGTTTGGTGAAGTAGGTCAACAACATCAGAGACGACGTCGGGCCAGGACTTGTTCTGTTACAGGTCTAGTTTAAGGAGCAGTTTATTTGTTGGAAAGCAGTGTTTTCAACTGAAACGGTGTAAATTAAAAGTCTGTGGTGCAGTGGACATGAGTGGCATCAGTCGAGAGGCCACGACTTTCCTCACAGCAGTAAATGTAATCACTGAACGTCGTAATAAAATCTGTGTGTTTATAAATCAAGGTTAAACTAGAACAAGTCACCAGGTAATTTTCACTAAGAGAACAGAGAAATAAATTGTATGTAGATGTGTGTGTGTGTGAGAGAGACATCTGTGTGTGTGTGTGTGTCAGGTTTGTGCAACACAATTACCTCCGCACCTGTGATGTTCATGTCTGAGCCTCAGGAGACGTTTACCTGGAACCAAGAGCTTATTTTATTATGTTTTTATATTTAGGACCAATCCAGAGAATGATGTCGTATTGTCAGAGTAACGACCTCCTTCATCTTTGACTCAAAGTCAACCTTTTGCCTAATTAGCTTTTTCTTTTGCTAATTGGAAGGAATTTTATGTCCGTAAGCCACAAATGTGACACATGTTCTCCTCCCAGTTTTATTGTTCATGTGACCGTGAAGCAGAAGAAGCTAAATGAGTAGAAGAAACGGCGCCGTTTTAGGTCTGTCGTACCGTCCGACGGATGAATGGACTGTAGACTTTAAACGGTCACAGAAAAGTTCAGCCGTGAAAATATCTGAAGAAAGAAAAAAAAAAAGAAAATACTCGACAGTTAACGTGAGCGTGGCCGTTATAGAACTAATCACTAACTAGCAGCTAAACGACTTCCAGCCTCTGAGTTGGTTTTTTTTGAATATTCTTAAATCTTCACAGAGACACAGTGACACAAACCCAACTGTGGACTTGGATTCTTAAAGAACCATTTAGTCTTTTCTCCAGTTCTGATTTAAAAAATGCTCCTGTGAGTCACTTTTCTAAGTCTTAATAATTTGTGACAGTGATTAATGTTGTTAATGTTAATGAGTCAATGATGAGAATGTTTCCCTGATCGTTTAAAAAACTGGTTGATAATATTCCATTGACTCAAAGATGGATCAGAGAGTAAACCAAAGATTTGATGTGTCGCTGTCACTGTTTAAATTGTTGGCAGACCAACAGTTACAACACACTTCATTATTTAATTTTGGACCTAACGATGCAATTAATGGTGGAAAAAAAAACACAATTAATCCTAATTCCAAAAAGAATTGTTTCCCAGCAGGATATTTATTTCTTAGTTCTTACAATTGTGTGTATTTTTGTTTTTCTTTGTGAGTGTGTATGTGTGTGTGTGTGTGTGTGTGTGTAAACACATACAGTATAAGGTTTGCACTGGAGCGCCCCCCTGGGACCACTTTCTGAAAGACATCAATCACACAGTGTGAAAGTTAGAAACCAGCAGAGATTGAGACTCAGTCAAAGGAGCAGCATTACACACACACACACACACACACACACACACACACACTGTGCATGGTAATAACAGCACAGATATACAGCTTAACAACAACATGCCTTAAAGGTTTTTTATGCTGCACAAAACATAGGTTTTTTTTCCCAAGAGGAAAACTCCGGTCTTTCTGCTGCTGCTCAGTTGTGTAGGATCTCAAACCAAACCGTTAATAAGGTTTTATACCTGGTTCTGTGGCAGTGGCTCTAAACTCTTCTGATACAACAAATCCAGATGTGTTTCTCAGGCAGCGTTACCATGGCGTGCCGTCAACACGCTCCACAGTAAAATGTGCCTGAAGCCGTAACTGAGCCGAGTGATCGGTGGAGCCGACATTGTTATCGACTCCGTGTCTGTGCTGAGGTGTCAGAGGCGTCTGTGAGGATGAAGGTGTCACTGTGGGAATGAGGTTGGTACAAACGTCAGTCTTAGATGTCGGGCAGATTTCTATAGCTTCCTCAAAGTGGTGCAGTTTCAGAAGTTTGCCCTGCGCTCTAACAAGCTGCTGTCTGACCTGGCAGCCACGGGTTTGGTTAGAGTGAAAGTCATGTTTTTATTTTTCTCTTAACTGACGTTTCCTGTATATGTGACTGAACTTAACGGCAGAGTAAAAAAAGACATCTGTGAAAGTGACATCTGTGTTTCCTGATGTGTTTCCAGGTGGAAACCACAGGATTATTATTGCTGCTAATATGTGAATTTGAGACACTGTCGATAAACAGTTAATAATGTTGTATGAAAAAAAGAAACATATTTGTATTTTTTTACCTTTCTCACTCAGATGCATGACAACTGGAAGTATCACAAACCAAAAGTGGCCTCCTATTGGCTGGTGAAGCTGGACTCTACAAAACAGAGAAAGGTAAGCTGTGATTTAATTTCCTGTTTCCTGTTTCCTCCTTGTTGAACCTCAGACCTTCTACTGATTTTCATGTTTTTTTCTCTACTATTGTCACCTTTTTGACCTGGATCAGTAAACACTGAGCCTTCACTCTGTGTTATCGTAGCTTTAATATTAACAACAGCCTTGAGTCCAATCTCTGTGTTTTTTATCTCATGTCAGTTAATGACTAAAGGTCCAGACAAATGATGAACCGTCTCTACTTCATGATCACATGTTCTTAACCCAGTTTGAGTCAAAGTGTTTTTCTATGTCTGATATATTTAGTTCAGTCCATGAATTATTTACTCAGTTACATTTTTTTCTTTGGCCACTTTTTTCTTGCTTTTTTCATGTTTTATAAGAATGTTTAAAAATAATTCAAAAAGGGACTTTTGTTTTTTTAAAGACATCAGACCTTCTATCACACTGTAAAACACCTTTTCAATGGCTAACTGTCTAACATCTTAGATAAAGAGATAAAAAATCCACAGAAATGAATTATTAGAGAGAAACCAGATGATTTCACTGCCAGACAGTCAGAGATGTTGGAGAACAAAGAGGATGTAAACAAAGTGAAGAGGGGACGAGACGTGAACTGCCATCCTGTAGGTGTGTCAGTAATGATGTGATGTCGCAGCCACTGTTCCTGCACAGCCGTCGTTGGGCTGTGACGGAGCGAGCTGATGTTTTATTTGGAGTGGAGCAGCCTAATGAGCAGCAGGCAGAGGTCAGGAATGTGGCGCCCACCGCTCTGCCATCTGATTACCATACCAAAACACCGCTCTCTCTGTGTCTGTGTGTGTGTGTGTGTTTGCTCCTCTATCAGTTTGAGTGTGTGAGCGCGTCTCGCTGGCTCCGTGTTGCTGCAGGGAAATCTTGCCTCTTCGCATCATGAAACACACACATGCACGCACGCACAGTGAGAGTGGCACGTCAGTAATGAGGGGAGAGGAATCAAAGACCGAGGCTGTGCACCGTGAGCGGGGCGGAAGAACGACGATGGAAAAGGAAGGAGAGAAGTGAGGAGGGATAGAAACAGGGAGGAGGGAAGACGGAGGGATGGTGCAGGTGTCCTCACTGGCCAAGAACCTCTGACACCTCCTCTCAGCAATTAGTCCTGACTCAGGCTCTCCACCGTCTGCCCCGGGACTGGTTGTCCTGGATCTGTGTGTGTGTGTGTGTCAGCTCTCTCTCTCTCTCTCTCTCTGTGTGTAGATCCATTATCCTCTGCAAATATTGAATTTAACATTGTGAACAAGTGAAGAACAAAGTAACAAATGCCAACTCACACACACGTCAGTCAGAGACGCGGCGTCCTCCTGTACGGCAGCATCAGCTCCTCTCATCATCATCATCATCACGTGTTCTGTTTTCACCTCTGACCTCTGACCTCTGACCTGCTCAGGTGTTGGACATCGTTCGAACCAACGTACGTTCCGCGCTGCAGCGGATCTGGAGGGAGCCGGACGTAGAGAGCCTCCACCTGTACAGGCTCTTCAACCGCGTCTTCAACCGGCTGCTGTGGAGCCACGGACAGGGTCTGTGGAACTGTTTCTCCAACACTGGGTAGGACGACAAACACACAGACAGGAAACATTTAAGAACCAGTCCCCTCCTCCCCAACAGGGGGCGGTGTTCAGGTGTAGATGAGTTTAGGATCAGACAGTAACATCGTTTCATAAATGTTCATGAATAAATGACCTCTGGTATAGAGAGGGATTAGTGTGGTACACAGCTGCCTAACACACAGAAGGTCGGGGGTTCAAGCTCCTGTGTGGGTTGCAAAGACTCACATTTTCCTTTTTGTAGAAGAAATAATTCAATTTAATCAATAAATCCAGATTCATACACAAAGACTCACATTTTCCATTTTGTAATTTAATCAATAAATCCAGATTCATACAATTTACCAACTTATTTCCAAACAAGGTTTTAATTTCTGTTTTTAGGAAATAAGTCAAAGAGAGTCAAACTGAGGTGTGAGAGTCAGAGCCACAGGAGAGATGACATATATAGAAGCAAACAGTGGTTTCAGTCTGCAGAACCTTAATGAAACGATTTGACACAGTCAACAGTCTTTATGTGCACTTCATCACCACCGTCCTGTCACGTCGGTCACCTCACCATCTACCGTCGCTCTTACGACCAGTGTTAATGTTTGTATCAGTGTCGCTGAGAGCAGCCACATCTTTCCAACACGGCTGTAAAAGCAGCGGCAGCTGAGTGACAGCCAGAGTGTGACAGAACAACCACTACCCACTGCACTCTGCTAAAAGCACCCGGGATGAAAGAAACATGTTACTTTGTTCAGACATGTTGCAAATTTGTCGGCGACGTGGGCTTTTAATCAAGGCATTTCACAGGTGAGAGGCAGAAGAAGAGTGAGTGAAAGAAGGTGAAAGACGACCTTTCAGTTTTCACCGTTACTTTGCTCTGCTATTGCAGGCTTTCAAGTTTCCTTTATTTATTTCTCGTCTGCGTCTTTTTTTGATGTCACACAAAGTGGTTTCCTCCGAGACGAGTGACTGTTGTGATGGACCCGCAGGAGACGGACGGGTTTAGAGGAGGACTGCTGCTCCTCCTCACCTACAGACAGGGTTTAGCCTCTACATACAGACAGCTGCTGCACTTTATGGAGTGTGATGAAGACCTGACCTTCTGGTGTCATCTGCTCTCCATATTCTTTACGGTTCAGTTGCTCGGCGGCCGTGCTTCCCTCGGCACACAGGGCTTAAAGTGTGTAACTGAAGTTGCTGCCCACCAGTTCTTCACCTCACTCCTCCCTTCTTCCTCAGAAACTGTAGGAGAAAGGAGCGAGTCAGTGAGAGTGAGAAGCAGAAGGACTGACGTAGAGGGATTAACGTCTTCAGAGGAGTCGCCGTAGTGTCATTGAAAATGAGACATTAGATATAAAAGGTTAAAAAAAAACCCAGTGCTGGAGATGTACAGGCCTGAGAGGATTTCCATGTCTAGCATTAGCCAAACCCAGCATGACTTCACCCCAGGAGGCCTTTGTCTGATCACAGCCTCCCCCGGATGAACCGGCTCCGTTCATCAGCAGGCAGTAGCCTCAGTTTGGAGGAAACCCAACAGGAGGCCAACAGGAGGCCCCCGTGTCACTCAGCAACAAGGGGGCAGTTCACCTCCAGATGCCAGCTAACCCCCCCCTCCCCCACCCCGTTTCCTTCCCGTCTCTTGTTTGATATTTTATCTGAGGGATTTAGTAACAATCAAAAAGCGTCAAAGCTACTGTGAGAAACAAATACAACAGGCAGATCTGACGAGAGTCTCTGCTTCTACACAAGAGGGAGCCCCGCCTCCTTTGGAGAGCATGGGGCGAGACATCAAGCGTATCCCCCAGTGATGTGTGTCTAAGTTGTTTAAGCTTTTCCACAGTCGGGGGTAGATCTCTGGTTGAGGGGAAACTCCAGGAGGACTTATTCATCTCTCCTCTAATGTGAGTCTGACTGACTTCCTGTCTGACTGAGGGCATGACCTTTGACCCCCGGCCCCCGGGCCTTAATCTGTACACCCTGTTATTTTTAAATGTACAGTTTAACACAGCGGGTGGCAGCAGGTGTTGTGAGGTGATGGTCAACTCAAACAACAGAATTAAATGATTTACTTTATATGAACTGGTTAAATTCACTCATTCATTTAAATCAGTCTGAGAACAACTCTTACCACAGATCGTTCTTGGATCCTCCTTGGAGCTCCAGTCTTTTCACGGCTGTGAGATGAACACCACTGACGCGCGGCTCACGTGGTCCTTCCTCTGCTCCCCAGGTCGTCGTGGGAGGCCGTCTTCAGTAAGAGCGCTGAGCTGGTGTCAGCCCAGGAGCTGCAGTGCTGCCGCCGGCTGGTCCAGCTGTGCAGAGACTGTCTCCTGGTCGTCTACAAGTTTGTGTCCGAGTCCCGTGGCTCTTTGACGGGACTGAGCCCTGAGTGGGACGACACCAGGTGAGAAGGAACAGTCCACACACAGTTCACATCTTTGTACACAAGACTGAATCAGAGAGAGAACAGAGCAGCACAAATCAAACACATCAGTGTTGATGGAGAACATTTATGATGTCACTGAAACAAACAGAATGGTTTCCACTGTACTTTACCATATAATACTGTACTGTACTGTACTGTACTGTACTGTAAGACACATCTCACAATCCTTTACTAAACTGTTTGCTACATCCCACTGTCTTTAACTGTAAAACACCTCACTACACATTAATACACAACATTAAACCATGTCACACTAAAAGTACACAAAACTAACTAGTATATAAGTATAGTACTGTAATATAGGTACTGTATTATTCTGTACTCTAAATCTCACCTCCTCCTTTACAGTAAAATACAACAATTGTTTTCCACTGCTCTAATAAACTACAGTTTACCATCATTTAGTTCCGGTGTTTTTTACCACTGTTTTCTGCAGTAAATTTTATAAACAGTCTGTATTAAAAAACTATATTAATCGTCCAGATTTATCCGTTAAGTTAATTGTCATTGTGATCCAGCTGCTTATATCAGGTATACTGAACTACATTAACTCTCCCCCTAGAGGGCACTGTAAAATGCATACAAACTAAATTATTTATTAAAAGCAGACAGCCGAGCTTTAATTTGACTTTTCTTAACAGTTGTCATAATTACACCTCCCAGGGAACCTCCCTCTACTCCTCTGTGGAGGTTTGGAGCCATCAACGCCGTCGTCAAAACCTTATAAAACCAACAAACAAACAAAAAGTAATCATCCTCGCTCTCTTTTAAAGGTTTATCCCTGTGGGAGGTTTGAAGTGAGTGAACTTTTAAAGCACAGCTTTGGGCTG